TTTGACTTGACAGGAAGTTTAAGAATATAAATAAGACTTTTGTGGTTATACATTAAAGTTATGTCACAAATAACAAAAATATTTTTTAATCTTGTGGCTTAAACATGTCACGTGGAAAGTTGAAATTAAAATGTTGTCATGAAAATGGATCCTTAATTTTTAAAATGACTAAAAAAAGCAGGTCATTATTTTTTTAAAACGGAGAGAATTAAAAAATAGGTAATTATGCTAAAATACTTATTTCTTCATTAAAAACTTGATCAAACACCTTTATTGAAAATAAGTGTAAGCATTTTTAAAAATTACACACTTTTGACCTTTCATAAGCTTGGAAATCAAGCTACTACTTTTCTTGATAGTTTTGGTTTTGCTTAATAAACACAAAATTAGCGTTTTACGCCGCAAAAGAAGGAGAATAGATAATGATAATTTAAAAAGATTTTACATGGAGAAATCGTTGTATATATTATAAAAATAAACTACGAGTATAAGGTCAAATTAAAGAATTAATAAATATATTCTTATGGGAATTGAGGGTTATATTTATATGATGAATATGACAACTCATCATCTAGACATAAAGAGATTTAATTTCAAACAATTGTTACCTACTCGATCAACCTACTAATAATAATACAAGTCTAGTCTTTCTCAACTATAAAATTTATATATATTTCAAACAAAATTTAATGACATTATTGAAAAACTTCTTAAAGATAAAATAAATTCAAGATAGAAACTTTTTAACTGAAGAAAAGTATTTAACAAAAAAGTTTTTCTCTGCCAAACCCTAGCTAATAAAATAACTGCCTAATGATTTTAATTAGTTGTGCAGTAAATCTTGAAATGATAACTGGTTTAAGATTTAATATATAATAAATTAAAATTACTTATTTTTGAGGGAAACTACTTTTTCTCCTTAAAAGCTACTCCATCGATTAAAAAAAGAACGATTCAGTTTGACTTGATAGAAATTTTAAGAATATAAAGAAGACTTTTTGTGGTTATACATTAATGTTATGTCACAAATAATCAAAATATTTTTTAATCTTGTGACTTAAACATGTCACATGGAAAGTTGAAATTAAAATGTTGTCATGAAAATGGATCATTCCTTAATTTTTAAAATGACTAAAAAAAGCAGGTCATTATTTTTTTAAAACGGAGAGAATTAAAAAATAGGTATTATTTTAAAATACTTATTTCTTCATTAAAAACTTGATCAAACACCTTTATTGAAAATAAGTGTAAGCATTTTTAAAAATTACACACTTTTGACCTTTCATAAGCTTGGTAATCAATCTACTACTTTTCTTGATAGTTTTGGTTTTGCTTAAAAAACCAAATTAGCGTTTTACGCCGCAAAAGAAGGAGAATAGATAATGATAATTTAAAAAGATTTTACATAGAGAAATCCTTGTGTATATTATAAATAAACTACGAGTATAAGGTCAAATTAAAGAATTACTAATAAATATATTCTCATGGGAATTGAGAGTTATATTTATATGATGAATATGACAACTCATCATCTAGACATAAAGAGATTTAATTTCAAACAATTGTTACCTACTCGATCAACCTACTAATAATAATACAAGTCTAGTCTTTCTCAACTATAAAATTTATATATATTTCAAACAAAATTTAATGACATTATTGAAAAACTTCTTAAAGATGAAATGAATTCAAGATAGAAACTTTTTAACTGAAGAAAAGTATTTAACAAAAAAGTTTTTCTCGGCCAAACCCTAGCTAATAAAATAACTGCCTAATGATTTTAATTAGTTGTGCAGTAAATCTTGAAATGATTACTGGTTTAAGATTTAATATATAATTAATTAAAATTATTAGTCAGTTATTTTAACTAACTAGGGTTTGACCCAGCAGTTAAATACTTTTCTTTAATCACAAATTAACACACTTATATTTAGTTCTCCACTTCTCTTTAATCTTCTATTTTCCATTTCAAATTCCTTGATAATTTTTATTATTATTGCTTAATACAATTGTTTTCTACGACAAAAAATGTAGTCAATAGATCAACGTATTTACCATATTATTATGTTTAACATACAACAACTAAAACGTAAAACTCAAAATTTCGTTCATTTTTTCCTGTTGGATTGGATAAATTAATTTCGCATACAAGATATTATACTTAACTAATATCCTTACTATTATTGGGTTTAATTAATTAAGGCGTGGTTTTGTTGACTTAAATAGTGTTGCAGTCACTATCGTTTGTTGCTTATGAGCTACGCAATGAAATAAATTATATGAGTAGTCAATTAATTTCATAATCAAGATTGTTAAAGGCGTATTAATTTATTGGTAAATTTTCCATTGTTCTAATATTTTTGTTCAAGATGGGAGTTATACCATAATGTATGGTGAGTTTGGATTGAATACAAGTTCAACGTTTAAGAAATAATGAAATGCAGGTGGACTTTTTGTTTTTTTGGAATCAAATTTGGTACAAAGTCGTCCCAGATTATTTAGGTCATGTGTCACGACTTATTCATATGTCGATAAATATTTGCAACCTTCTTGTTTTAGAAACTTCTTGCTATATCCTTAGTTTACGTTTAATTAAAAAAAAAGAATAAACGATCTATATCGGCCAAATCGATACAAATATGAATTATACACGTAGCAAGTATTTGTGGTTACGAAATTATACTCCAAAAAAATATATATTCTCTTTTCTCTTGATATAATAGAAATGTTATTAAGAATGACAAAAGTCTCATATTGATGTTTAATGAGATGGATGGACTTCTTATAAGACTTGGACAATCTTCATTCCTTTGAGCAGCTTTTGGGGTGTGAGTTAGGCCCAAAACTTAATTTAACATGGTATTAGAGTAGGGTCCCTTTGAGCTAACTATAAAACAATAATACAATTTTAGGAGAATCTACCAGATGTGTGCAATTTTAGTTAAGATTCTAGGAGGCTACTCCATCCTAAACGCTAGTTCATGCATCAAGAAAGTCCAAATCATTTTAGTTTGAGAAATACACTATTAATCTCGAGGCTACTCCATCCTAAACACTAGTTCATGCATCAAGGAAGTCCAAATCATCTTAATTTGAGAAATACACTATTAATCTCTCTTGGGGGAGGAACAAGATCGTGTCCATATTATTTTATCAATAAAGTTATATATCTTTATATTTTATTTGTGATTATAGTTATTTTCTATAATATTAAAATTTGTCACAAACAACCGTAGTAACATTACGACGTTATAGAACAATAAAAACTCTTCAAGAATGTGTTAGATTGCAGAAGAGGTGTCATTTGACACGAAACCGGTGAGCTTTAGGCATTGAAGATTGGCCCTCACCTGCCTTAAACCCGCAAAGATATTTTTAAAAAGCAATAAATCCGTCCCACCAGCTTGCACCAGCATAGATTCAAACCCTCCCCTCATATATGCATTAAAATATGTTATGCTCCACAATCGTACCGTCTCATTGTCATCCTTAGTGTTATTAAAAATATATGGCTGACAATAATAGACTATAAGTACACTCTTTTAAATGATGATTCGTACCTCTATGATCTACTATTATTAATCTATAATGAATAATGATCCACGTACCTTTAGCGTGGTCATCTAAAGAACACAAAATAACCAAGGATTTCAACAAATATGAGGTCCATATACTCCTATAAATCATCAATTAATTGGAGTGCTAAGTATATATATATATACATATATATTAATGAACGCTGATCAAATGATAATTGTTTTTGTTAAAATACATATATCATATATTTACTGATATAATCAAACCTCATATGCTAAGTTTTTTTTTTACCTGCAATAGAATGGACAGAAATAAGTGGCCGGGTCAAACATAAGATAATAACGTGTATGGAAATTTAAGTTTTCAAAAAAGGACAAATAGATAATCTAAAATACAAACATAGTGATCGATTTTAGAAAATTTTAAAAACTACATAAATTATCTCAAACAAAGTATTACTTAGTAGTATTATATGCTTTTGCTTTGACTAAGAGCGCAAGTAATGGGGGGGGGGGGGGGGGTCATTAAAAACAATGGCGGCAAATGTATTGTATGGCAAAGTCGATGCTGACATATTCCTAACTCGAAAACTAGAAACCTCATATTATTTTAGACAAATAAAAGAAAGGCCTCGCAAGTCACAAGTATATTATTATTATCTCTAATGTCTAATTTGTAAACGAAATGTGACATGACATTTAATTTATCCAAACTCACATGCCAAATGAATAGTATTTCAATTCTAGTCATGAAAATGCATCAATCTTCAATTGTATCGAGCGATTCAAAATTTTAATTTTATGGATTCAAGAGTCGAATTTCAATTATTGAGCCAATAATCTTGTTCGAGTTATGAGTTCATAATTCAATATTTTCAATATTTTTAATATTTTAGACAGAGATAAATTCAAATGTAGGCTAAAAGTTAGGGGTTCATATGAATTCGTATATATACTATGGGCCATTGGGTACACCCTTGTACTATACAATTGAGTCCCTCATTGATCACAAAGATAGATAAAGTACGGCTTGAAATGTATGAGGTTTCACAAGGAATACCAATTGTGATAAAATATGCCCTAAAAAGAAAAAAAAGAAGCCTAGAGGAACGGTGACTTGAATCTTGAAATTAATTTGTAATCGATGGCGATTGATGTTAATCAATAAGCCTCTCATTATTAATAACAATCTATATTGATAATAATTCGTCTAAAGTTTTAGTGGACTGATCTCTCTCACCTAACAGACTAATTGTTTTAGTTGAGTTCTCATGTTTAATCTATAACCAGAGGCAGACCCACATGTATAAATAGAACTGCACGTGCACTCGTTAACTTTGAAAAAAATCATGTATATAATATAAATGTATATCTATCTTGAGTTAGCAGAAACTAAATATAATAATAGTGCCCCCATAGAAAGCATATAATGAAATCATATTGTATTGAAATGGATAATTTGAATTACATGTACAAATATAAGAGTTCATTGTTATAGTTACTCCAAACTACTTCAATGTTAACGTTGTTGTCTTCTGAATTCCATAAACGAGCGGCTTTTCGTTTGCTCCTAACTGTGGCTAACACATCATACTTGTTGCAGATTGTCACCTTTTGTTGTTCAAAATCTACATTCACCTGCAATTTGACATATAATTAAGGTTATTCATACAAGTTTCCGACTGATAAATTGATTTCGTACCCAATTCCATATGATAATGAGTGCATATATTTTTTTGTCAAAAGCTCGAACGATAAAACAGTAAGTATTGGATTAAGAATAGGGAAATTTACGTGAATGTACCCTTTACCAACATGGTTAAAGTATACACTACTTATACACTTTGGTTGTATATGATGTATCTATATATGTATAATGTACGTATAAGATATACATTATCTATAAACTAGATGATTCAAAGATACTGATAGCTTGAACATAAGTGAGTTTTAGATTACTGACTATAAACAAAATGTAGTGATTTAGGCCAGATCAGGACATATAGATCATATTATGTAAGCCCGTTTTCCTAGGCCCTAGCTTGTTGGGCCTAAGTTGCTTAAATCTACTGACATAAAAACATATTTGTTGACTTGGGCATTATCCTCTTGGACCTTAACATATTTGGGGAGGCTCAATGTATAGACTTAAAAAATACACAACTTAGACCTCTACAAATTACTAACTCAATACAAGAACCAAAAAAACAAGACATCTGATGACACTTTAAGATCATTAAAAGTTTATTTCATCAAATTTTGTCCCAATACACATGCTATAGTACATAATTTTACCTTTGATATGGGAAAGAGCTTTGTTGATTTTTCTCTCACAACCATAAGAGTATAGAGGAACCATCATTTCCACATACTGAGGCTCTACATTAATATTTCTGCCTGCTGGAACTATCTGCATGTTCGCCATATATACCCAAATTCAACACAATAACTATAGTTCTTAGCTTATTTGTGTTAGATAATACAGTATGTGTCAACTAATTAGGTTGAGTATGATGAGTTACGTTATTATATATATATATATATATAGTGATAATTAGCATTTAGAGGATTATGACATTGATGACGATCTAAAATCAAAAGCAGCACACAACATACAAAAAAAGATTCTTTCTAAAAAGCTAGATGAAAAATTAAAGAGCTAGCTAGCACCCCTTTTTTACTTTTCGCTTTTAGATTCTTAATTCATCTATTTTTATAGTACAAATTAATTAACCCTACTGCTGCTGAAAGTCATTAATTTTATAGTATTGTATGGTTCACTGAATAGAGGAAATTTTATTTAAGTTTTTTAAAAAGGAGACGTAGAATTATGACTAGGACTTTTTGTTTTTTGGAATCAAATTTGGTACAAAGTCGTCTTAGATTAATTAGGTCATGTGTCACGACTTATTCATATGTCGATAGATAATTTCAACCTTCTTGTTTAAGAAACTTGTTGCTACGTCCTTAGTTTTCGTTTAATTAAAAAAAGTAAACGATCAATATCGGCCAAATGGATACAAATATGAATAATACACGTACGCGAGCATTTGTGGTTATGAAATTATACTCCTTCAATTATTTTTTTTATCTTTTCCCTTGATACAATAGAAATGTTGTTAAAGAATGACAAAAGTCCACGGTTAATGAGATGTGTGGACTCCTTATAAGGTTTGAACAATTCTCCTCCCTTTGAGCTAGCTTTTGGGGTGTGAGTTAGGCCCAAAACCTAATTTAACATGGTATCAGTGCCAGATGCTAAGCACTGGGCGTCAGGTGTTAAAGAATGACAAAAGTTGCACATTGATGGTTAATGAGACGGGTGGACTCTTTTTAAGGCTTGGGCAATTTTCCTCCCTTTGAGTTAACTTTTGGAGTGTGAGTTAGGCCCAAGACCTAATCATTAAGCGTTGGGTGTGAGGTGTTTAAGAATGACAAAAGTCCCACATTGATGGTTAATTATGAGATAGGTAGACTCTTTATAAGGCTTGTGAAATCCTCCTCCCATTGAACTAGTTTTTGGGGTGTGAGTTAGGCCCAAGACCTACTTTAACAAATGTTTGTAGAATCAAAATTTTAGGAGACTCAACTAGATGTGTTCAATTTCAGTTAAGATTTTTAGAGGCTACTCCATTCTAAACCCTAAATTCATGCATATATAAAGGGTGATATATTCTTTTGAAGAGACATCTGTTTGAAGAGGCATCTCAAGTTTCCCATAACTCTTGGAATATTCATAAAGAGATCTAGGAAGTCCAAATCATCTTAATTTCAGAAATACGCTACTAATCTCTCTTAGGGGAGGAATAAGATCGTATCCATATTATTTTATCAATAAAATTATGATATAATCATATTTTATTTGTGATTACAATTATTTTTTATAATATTAAAATTTATCACAAACAACCGTAGTAACATTACGACGTTAAAGAACAATAAAAATTCTTCAAGAATGTGATAGATTGCAGAAGAGGTGTCATTTGACACGAAACAATGAGCTTTAGGCATTGAAGATTGGCCCTCGCCTGCCTTAAAACCTGCAAAGATTTTAAAAAAAAGAAGCAATAAATCCGTCCCACCAGCATAGATTCAAACCCCCCACATATATGCATTTAAATGTGTTCTGCTCCACAATCGCATCATCTCATTATCATCCTTAGTTTTATTAAAAATATATGACTGGCAATAGACGATAAGTACGCTCTTTTAAATCATGATTCGTACCTCTATGATCTATTATTATTGATCTATAACGAATAATGATCTACGTACCTCTAGCGTGGTCGTCTAAAGAGCACAAAATAACCAAGGATCTCAACAAATATGTGGTCCATATAGAGATATACTCCTATAAATCATCAATTAATTGGAGTATTAAGTATATATATATATTAATGAAACGTGATCAAATGATAATTGTTTTTGTTTAAACACATATTATATATTTATTGATTTGATATAATCAGTCTCATACTAAGTATAAGGAAAAAGGGTCAAAATTACTCTCGAATCATTCGAAATAGCTAATATATACCCTTTAGTTATGTTTGAGATCAAAACTACCCTTGCCGTCTATGTTTTGAGAGGAAGGAATTTTTGCCACGTTGGACTACCATGTATGCATATATAGCAAAGGTAACGTTTTAAGGGCATTTGTAGTCCAAAACATAGACGACAAGGGTAGTTTTGATCTCAAACATAAATAAAGGGTATATATGAGCTATTTCGAATAGTTTAAGAGTAATTTTGACTTTTTATGTTTTTCTTTACCCACAATAGAATGGGCAAAAATAAATGGCTGGGTCACAGTTCAAACATAAGATAATAACGTGTATGAAAATTTAAGTTTTCAAAAAAAGAGGACAAGTAGATAATCTAAAATACAAACATAGTGATCGATTTTAGAAAATTTTAAAAACTACATAAATTATCTCAAACAAAGTATTACTTAGCAGTATTATATGCTTTTGCTTCGACTAAGAGCGCAAGTAATGGGGGGTGGGGGTGGGGTGGGGTGCATTAAAAACAATGGCGGCAAATGTATTGTATGGCAAAGTCGATGCCGACATATTCCCAACTCATAAACTAAAATCCCCATTTTTTTAGACAAGCAAAAAGAAAGGCCTCGCAAGTCACAAGTATATCATTATTATTATTATTATCTCTAATCTCTAATTTGTAAACGAAATGTGACATGACATTTAATTTATCCATTCGTACCTCACATGCCAAATGAATAGTATTTTAATTCTAGGCGTGAAAATGCATCAATCTTCAACTGTGTCGCAGCTGCAATACATAAATGGATTCAAATTTTTAATTTTTTGGATTCTAAGAATCAAATTTCAATTATTAAGCCAATAATCTTGTTCGAGTTAATTTCAAAATTTTAGACAGAGATAAATTATGTTAAGGGTTTCAAACTCATGATCATTTAGTAGAACAAACCCACCTTGACCATTGAAGGTTTCGCTAATGCCTAAATTGAGATAATATTCAAATCCTAGGTTCGCCTTTATCTATAGCAATATTAGTATAAAGTGGTTCAGTTTCTAATTTACTATTTATTGCATCGCGATGAAGAATTCGACAATTAATTAACAAGTACTTCTAAGTGAGATTAGTAGCTTAGAGGCATTAATAAGGTAAAAGTAGCAGTTGAGTTTTTATGTTAAAACTCCATAACAATCAAAGACCATAATAAACAAACATAAACGGATTATTTGTGCCACAAAAGGCAAACATAGGAAAACTTAATTAATCGCCAACTAACATAAGTGGCAGCAGCTATTTACAATGTGGCTAGCTCATATATAATTGAGGTTGATATTTTAATTAGAATGAATATGATCTTGTGAAGGCCTTTTTTAAAGCTAATTTCCAGCTTAGAGATCGAGCCCTTATGAGGGCTAAAGGCGGCCTAATTCGATAACGACAAGTTGCTGATGAATCTCTTTCTGAATATTCTTCCATGTTAACGTTGTTGTCTTCTGTATTCCAAAAACGAGCCGCTTTTCTTTTGCTCCTAACTCTAGCTAACACATCATACTTGTTGCAGATTCCCCATACTGTCACCTTTTGTTGTTCAAAATCTACATTCACTGAATATATTCCTGCATTTTTTTACTACGATTAATACAATGAGTGCATATACTTTTTTTTTATCAAAAGCTCCAAGGAAAAAACAGTAAGTATTGGATTAAGAATAGGGAAACTTACGTCCATTTAACCATCTAGTTTATCAAAATATCCTATTTATATACTTCGATTATATATGTCATATGTTATTACATACATTATAAACTAGATGGCCTAAAGATATTGATACTCCAACAAAAGTCATTGAGTAGTATTAGATTAGTGACTATAGACAAAAATGTGCCAATAGCATTAAGCTATTTAGCTTGTTGGGCCTAATTGCTTAAATCTACTGTCAAAACATATCTGTCCATTGACTAATTGGGCCTTAACATATCTTCATGTACCCTATATGTTGTAGACACATTAGATCTCTAGAAATTAACTGAACCAAAAAGACAAGACATCTGATTATAACCGATAATCATTAAAAGTTTAATTCATCAAATTTTGTCCCAATATATAGACATAGTACATAATTTTACCTTTGATATGGGAAAGAGCATTGTTGATTTTTCTCTCACAACCATAAGAGTATAGAGGAACCATCATTTCCACATACTGAGGCTCTACATTCACATTTCTGCCTGCTGGAACTATCTGCATGTTCGCCATATATCCCCAAATTCAAGACAATATAGCTATAGTCCTTATCTTATTTGTGTTATATAATACAGTATGTATGTGTCAACTTAGGTTGAGTACTTCGCCTGATCATGATGAGTTACGTTATATATAGTGCAACTGTGCAAATTAACATTTATTGGATTATGACATTGATGACGATCTAAAATCAAAAGCAGCAGACAACATAAAAAAAGATTCTTTCTAAAAAGAGATGAAAAATTAATTAAAGAGATAGCTAGCACCCCTTTTTTACTTTTCGATTTTAGATTCTTAATTCATCTATTTTTATTGTACATATTAATTAATCCTACTGCTGCTGAAAGTTATATAAATTGTTCTACTAATGTATGGTTCACTGAATAGAGGAAATTTTATTTAATTTTTTTAAAAAGAGACGTGGAATTATGACTAGGACGAGTGTAAAAAGACTAGTGTCATCATTCAAACGATAAAGTTTGTTCTTCACAACCCATGTGCCCTGCATTGCTTAGCATGTAAGTTGCCTATTATCAATGCTAAGAATTGGATTTCAACTGTTTTTTCAAACTTTGACTACCAAAGTTATTATTTCTTCATGCTTCCTAGTTTAGATACCCCATTTGGCTTTTTGCAAAAAAAAATCTATTGATCCTTTAAATGAACCTTTTTTTTTTCATCAGGTGAGGGGGAATTCGTGTAGAGTGAGGAAATAAGAGGATCATAGAAAGGGAAGGGGTGCGGTGACCTTTTCATTAGATTGGATCATGCACCTAATTAATTGGTGCAGTGTGTAATTAGGATAGTTGGACTGCTGTTTAATTTCTTGTATAAAAAATATGTGGTTGGAGTTTGAGGCGGATTCACAATTTAGTTGTAGGATTTCTAATATTGATCCCATTATATTTGTTAGCATGAGTTTTTTTATATTTTTTATTTGTTGGAGTTTGAGATGGATTCACAATTTAAATTCTATGGATTTAGTATTATGGTTATTAATATTAAGCCCATTATATTTGTAAGGTCGTAAGTTTATATACTTACTATACTATTTACTGGACATGTCCCCTGGTTGAAGCAAGGCAGACTTTTAGAGTGGGTAATTTTTGAATTCTTTCAAACTCAATAATTTTGGCTAGTTGTATTGATTTGTATTACAAATTCACCAAAATAAGTATATAAGTAATATCAGATTAAATAGATCATTTATAAAATGTTGAATTCAAACTTATAAACTTCAAATTCTCAATCCACGTCCAAATCAAAGGTAATTAAGCGTGCGTCAACCTAAAGTAATGGGGGAGATTGAATGAATATGTTTTCTGTAGTTTCAAAAAGTGATGAACCTAAAAGAATTGGCGTAATTCCTTTTACTGTCATGAAAAAGGTGGTTGAGCTTTTGCGTAGCTTATGGTCTTACACATGACGCCAAAGTAATCTTATCCTATACATATATTTCTCAGTGAACCTAAAGTTTTAAGGAATAAGGCTGCACTTACACTGACCCCGTTCCGTATTACTATGTAAGTGTTTGTTTGGATTGATTTATTTTAAGTATATTTTTAAGTTCATCCAAATCGGCTTTAACTATCCAAAAGTATAGTATTATCTTAATTCAAAGGACAAAGCACAAGTACTTCATCATAAGCGGACTTAGAATTTGAAAATTAAGTGCACCACCAAGGATATAATACAAATTAGTTAGTTAAAACATGTTACACCAAGATGTAAAAATTAATTAAATGACTTGTTGGTAAAAATTGCACCATGGGTGCTGTGCACTTCATCCCTCAAATTTTATTACTAACATATTTCTCTCTCCAAACTCAACTTATGAAATTATACTAGGTCTGTTATTATTGTAATCGTTACACAGCCAACAGATACTGGCATGCAGCAGCTACCATTGAAGGAATGCAAACATGGGCTCACGACAAAAGTGATCAAGCCTGTTAGTTACTTTCTTGGTGGTCCTTTTTTGCTGCATGCCCTAGCCTTCTTGTTTTAAAGTATAGCAGCAATATTTGAATAGTAACACAACAGGACAACTAACCCCTGCTTATATAGAATTTAATGACAATGACAAAGAGGGTGTATAGTGACAAACATTTTGAGTTAATAAAGCATGTTCTTCTTTTCATCAAATAAGAGCTGATCGTCTTCTCATAGATTCCCTTCACATGATCGATCCCCCAGCTATCATCATCTTGATAAGCAATAATTCTACCTACTGATTGTGACAATATAGTTACTTCTAGCTTTTCCTATTGCCTTCATCTTAATTAAGTCCGTCACTCTATTTAGAAACAATGTTAAAAGGTTACGTTGTTTACAAAAATCCATTGTATTTTCTAAATTTCTATCTAGTCTATTTCTGAAGCGACACTCCTAATTTACTGAAACACAAACTTGAGATCTCTAGTTAAAGTGTAACCATCCGTTAATAGGTGCGTATCGATTATTCCTACGTTAAACGTGGATTGTCGCTACGGTGCGATACAATAGAGAGCCGAGAAATGAAATTTATGGAGACAAAAGGAGATGCCGGCATGGAATCCCAAGACTTTTTAGAGGAAAAGTTCCCCCACCATGTTAGTAAATCGTTTAGTTCACTTTTACTTGTCACTCATTTTTTAATAGATTTCATTTTGATTTGTCACTTTTGAAATATCAATTTTTTTTTATTTTTTTTTATATTTTACCCTTAAAACTATATATACTATTCTCTAAATCAATTTTCAAGACCTAATACTAAATATCAATTAATAGAAATAATGTAGTAAAATATTTATATTAATGATTATTTCTTAATGAATATATCAAATAGTGACAAGTAAAAATGAACGGAGAGGGAGAGAGCACAAGTCGGTAGCTGACTCAGATCCACGTAAATCCCAAATGGTGGGTCCCAAACCACGTGGAACCCATGCACTTGTTTCCGTAGAGGGAAAAAAGAGAATCTACGATTGAACAATTTCTAACACGCATCATGTCTCAATTTGTATTTCTTGGGGCCGCAGTCGATTTATATGATGTTATTCAAGTGTTCTATTTCGATGAAGTATACCAATTAAGAATAAAAGGAAATTTTATAAATTTAAATTAAAGACATGTTTATGATTTTTAAAATTTATAATTATAAATTAATATTGGAATAATTCTTTTTGCTAATTATTAAATGAGGCACTTTGTTTGACAGTTCGAGACAAGTAAAAAATAAATAAGACACTTATGGTTGAGCTTTTTTCCCTTTGTCTTATTTATTTTTTTATTTGGAAAGAACGATGGGCCATAAAAAATTAGTTGTATTGGATTTCGGATCAAAACCTTTGTTTTCACTTTTCAAATTTATCTTAAACTTTTGTTTTTATAAAATAAAATTATTTAAATTATATTTCATAATTAAATGATATTTTATTTTTTTTTAAAAAGAAATATACATTTTAATTTTAAATATTTATTGTAAAAATATGGCCAAGCACAACTTTAGTTTTATAAAATAAAGTTTTTTTTTTCAATTTTTATGGGCAAATGTGAAATGTCCTCTTAGATTGAGGTCGACGATTACTATAAGCTTTTACCAATTGTTTTCACTTTTCATATGTCGCTTCTTTAAAAAGTGTTTTCGTTTCGAGCCTGCTTTTGCTTTGTCTCTAGTTCCATGATTGTATATATGTGATAAAAATCCTTCTACTTTTGAAACTTACTTATATGACGGTTGAAAATTAGAAGTGTTCATCAATATAATTAATTACTATGAGTAGCATTTTCGTACTATTCAATTATGTTTGTTCTCTGTCTTATCAATTCGTTGGATATATAGTATTCAATAGATCTTACTTTGTTTTCATGTTATACATATAGTTTCGTAATATAGTCGACCGGGCATACATATTATAAAATAAAAACATCTAAAGTAGACAACTTTGCACAATTTATAATGAACAAGATATCATATTGTAACATTATCAAAGATGGTAAATAGTATATATACACAACAAAACAATAATATTATGTAACATTTTTTTATCTACTCTTGAAATACCATATTCAAGATTAGATATATATTACACGATAAATATTTGTATTTAACATTATTCATCTAGAGATAGAATATTAATTAATCCCCTTCACATGACCATCCATACAACAAATCAAATTAAATACTCCTACGTGTTTAAATTAATCATTGTCCCACAATATCATAAAAACTTAGTGTGAGGATTGATTAATTAAGTACGTACTATAATTGCTTGCAGGTTTATTAATTATGTAATGCAACATGCATTAGGGTTTTCATCGGAAAATAGCTGTGGAGGTGGAATTCTTTCAATGACGTAAAGTGGCTGATACTGATGATAATACATAAACTTATTAATCGTATGTTCATCATAATAATCTTCAATTGGAACGATCATCTCTTCTTCTCCGCCACCGCCTTCGTTTTTTTCTCCCTCCGGTGGTTTTTCACCGTCGCCCCCTTCTTTATTTTCAGCGGGGGCTGCACCGTCATCTTTCTTATCTTCGGGCTTTGGTTCTTCAACGGGCTTTGCCTCATCGGGCTTGGTCTCTTCAGCGGGCTTTTCAGGCTCAGGTTCGGGTTGAGGGACAATTTTTGCTTGTTTTTTGGTGCGTCGATAGACGTAGTCGACGAGCTTGTTAGCGTCCATAGTGCCTGTCACCGTTACTTTGCCTGTGCTGGCTTCTGTTTCCGCACTTCTAACACCTAAATTCAACAAGTCACATATTCTTGAGTGTTAATTAAATAAATATGATTATTAAATTAAAGTGATACTTAATTTACTACGAAGAGAATAATACATTCCGTAAATAGATGAATCCGGAATCGCTAAATTCTATTGGGTCAAAGACAACGGTTCTGATTTTACACGGACAGACTTTAACAGATTAATTACCTATCATTTCTGAGGTTTCTTATCATGTTTTTCACGCTATCAATTATGTGAAAATTATTCAAATAATTTGTAAAATGCTTTTGCACCTTAATATAT